AGCCGGGAATGCCGTGTTGCCAGGCAACGTTGAGGAGGAAGCAAGGGGCTGACTTGGCGATGGTGCGGACATGAGGCTGTTGGGTCCCCGCGGGGTCCACTGGGACTTGGTGGTCTCTTGAGTGACCGTCTCCAAGGGGTAACGGTACCCAGGTTACATGGGATGGGCAACGTCACGGCAACGGCTTGTAACCCGGTTACGAAAGATGGCACCACCATGGCGACAGCTAGTCACCCAGGTTACAAATTCTCCAGGGTGTCTCACCATGGCAACCACTGGTTGCCAAGGAGGGGTGGGGTGTCACTGGTATTACCCAGGATACACAAGCCCACATACAGGCACTGCCATGGCAACCGCTGGTTACCCAGGTGACATGTTGCCTGGGGGTCACCGCCACAGCAACCGCTGGTTATCCAGGTCACATGATGTCTGGGGGAGTCACTGCCATAGCAACCACTAGTTACCCATATCATGTGGTGCCTGGGGTCACTGCTATGGCAACCATGGGTTACCTGGGTCACTGGCTGCCAAGGAGGTCACTGCCATGGCGACCACAGGTTACCCACGTAACGACATGCCCAGGGATCACCATCATTGCAACTGCACAAAGTGGGCAGATCCAGGGAAATGGGTAATGGGCATCCATTTGAGGAAGGGGCAGTTTCCCCCCGCCCTCTCCCTGGGTTACCAACCCTCAGCACGTTGAGCTGGCTCAGGTCGTCCCCTTCCCGTTTGAAAGCCATGGCTGAAAAGGTAAGGAGGGGAGTCCTCTCCTGGGCTGGAGGCCTCTCTTGGGCTGGAGGCTCATGGCCTTTACCGAGCGCATCCCCCGGGATTGTGGGGGCTGTAGTTCATCAGACGCCCATGATATCGGGGGAGATGGGGCGCCTGGACTACAACCCCCGGAGTGCACCTGAATCGCACGCCTGCCGGGGCACGGACATCGCAATGGTTTTCGGGAGCCGTAGTCTTTAAGGTGCCAGATAGAACAGCAGGTAAGGTGCCAAAGAACTACAACTCCCAGAGGAGGCAGCGGCCCCGGTCGCGTTCTCCGCGCAAATTTTGTTTCGCGTTGCATTGCGGGGTATGAAGTTCTCTAGGCGATGATTACAATGAAGAGATGGGGATCCACGAACTACAAAGGCCATAAGACACCGCGCAGCAATGTCTGGTGCGGCTCCAACCATCGAAAGAGGGAGAGGAGAGACCGCACCTGCGCGCAATGCCATCTGGACTTTGTAGTCCACCGCGGCCCAGGGCGCCAGAGGAGCGGATGGGAATTAACACTGGCCGTGAACTACAACGTCCAGGGGTACGAGAGGAGGCTCGTCATAAAAGATAACCAGCAGAACGGCAGGGAAAAAATCCCATCCGTCGGATCTTCGCCATAATCAAAGTGAGGCTCTCGGATGAAAATAACATTTTAGCGTGGCCTATTTGTTTCCTTTTCTCCGGGGAGGGTGTGACTGTTGATGGAGTGGAGATGGGAGATTCAAAATGGCGACAGTAACTGTCAGCGGTTTGGACTTCATATCCCAGAATGCCCTTCACACCCGAGGATGCATGCCGGGGGATGTAGTCCCGCAGCCTGTATGAGAGACAGGAAGCTGGTGGGACGGCTCGAAGGACATCGGACTACAGGTCCCGGCGGGCAGTGCGCGAGCCGGAAGTCACACCGTCTCAGTTGTTGTTGTGGTCGTTGTGGGGTCGATGGAGGCGGCTGAGGGCGGAGGTGCCGCCGCCGAGTGCGGGTCCCTGAGGGCGTCGGCCCGCGGCACCAGCCGCTCGTACGGCAGCACCGACAGAGGCCCCGCCGCCGGTCAGCGGCACCTGGAGCATCGCCCGATGCCCGGGGACACCCTTCAGGGGCTGGCCCTCAGATACGGAGTGAGCGTGAGTATCGGCTCCGGCGG